GAAATACGAAGTCGTTGGGTACCTGCGTACGTGAAGCATATATTCTTTGCTGGGATGTCAAGCAGTCAATGGTCAGAAATCACCCATGCGTTCTTCAAAATATATGTCAATAAGACGGAAACATTAATGGATTTTATCACACAGTTTTGCAGTGCTCTGGCTCACTAGTGATATAGCGAATTGGTTGCCAACCACACTGACTTGAACGAGGTGCCTCGTACGATAACAACATTTGCCATGGAAACTCAAATGACACGTATTTATACAAAGACAATTTTCCTATTATTCCAAGAGGAATTAGTTCAGAGTAGCTACTACATTTTCTCAAGGAAATCAGCATACGAAAGTGTCAAAACGTATATTGTAACGCATTTTGATACCAAAAAAAATATCATCGCCAACGTGAGTTGACCTACTTCAGGGTCATTGACTTCATAGCATGCAGCTGCAAAACATTGGAGTTTGAAGGATATCCACGTCGATAAACAGGTGATGTTGTTATCAGATCAGTACATTGTAGGTCGGTGGACGCAAAATGCAAAAGCAACTCTAGTCTTCGAACCAAAAACAACCTCAATGGGTGGTCAATCATTGATTTCTCGACATGGGATGCTGGCGTTAATAAAGGATGGATTTCAGAACTTGAAAATACAGGTAAAAGCTATGGATAATGGAGATGTGGGAATGAGTAGGGTTATCAGCAAGAGCAGCGAAGGTGCCCAACTTGTGGTTGATCCTACTCCGGTTAGGACAAAAGGGTGTGGGAAGAGATTGAAGTCATCCAAAGAAATCTCCATGTCTCAGTCGAAGAGAAATTGTCGTGTTTGTGGTCGCAGTGGACATGACAAAAGAACTTGTCCGACATTACAGTCGAGGTTAGTTGATCGATAACTATTAACTGTTGCCATTATTTTGTTTTATCTTCTACTATGCTTATATTTAAATGTAGGAATCAGCTGGTGGACAAACCGTATCATCCACAATACTCTTGGGATGATTCTCAAGAAGATAGGTACACTGGTTTTGCTAGTAGTGATTCTGGTGCATTCCATATGTTTGACAATGATGACGACCATTAAACCACTTATTGTTGTACTCGTTCGACATAGTTTGAATTAAATTTGAAGAAAATTTATCTAATTTGAAGAAAATTTATCGACGTATTTTCTTTTTTAACATAAATGTAAAATGTATATGAAGTATAAAACGAAACCCGTGTTTTATAGGCAAAGAACTAGAAAAAAGACAAAAAAAAAATTAATTTATATATGCACACGCAAGGCTTGCTGTCGCAAGGCCTGCAGACCTTGCATGTGCATGGCTTTGCCTTGCCTAAAAAAGGCAAGGCAAAGCAAAAAAATAAAAATAAAAAAACAAAATTAACGTTGTCAGCCGCAATTGCGACTGACAACATATATGCACACGCAAGGCGTGCTGTGGCAGGCCTTGCATGTGCATAGCTTTGCCTTGCCTTTTGGCAAGGCAAAGTGCATTCCTTTCTCCTGCGCGTGGCGAGCAGGAGAACGGAACTGTACCTTTAGCAGCCGAAAACTTGTGTTGAAGTGTAATGATATATGATTTGGGTTATTGCGGCAAAAGAATATAACAGAATGGAAGGGTGAGTCAAGCAAGGGAAAATCTGGTGCTTTGATACTTGAAATCTGTATGAATACTTATATGATGCAGATTATCTGTGACTTCCGGAAAATGATCATTTTCCAACTTCAAGACTTGTAGAAACTTGGATGCTTTTTAAACGTCAATTGTAAATGGATCATTTCTTTAACCTATTAAGCCTGAAATTTGTTTTCCATGTTAGTGTCACGTTGTATGTGTGAATTGATTATAATTCAAAGTTATTTCTTGACCAACAATATTGAATATTTCTTGTGTTATTGGGTAAATTGTGTGTGAAGAAAAGCGTTATATAATTTGTTCTTGAACAAAGAAAAATAAATATGAAGATGAGACGAAAGCGTCATCATATACCAACATTGAAAAAAAAAGAAATTTTTTTTTCTCTCATCAACGTTCGAATGACTTTCGAAGTGCAGAAGTTTGGTTCACAAATGAATTTTGGGAACGACAAAGACACATTTCTTATGAAAATAACATATCATGAAAAATTTTTCGAGTTAGGATTCCAAAAAACTTTATGGATCTCAATAATTGGACTTTGCTATGCAATGTTATGGTTATCTTCTCCTATCTTGTCAGTTGCCTACTCTATTCGGGAATGTATGTTTTTATTTTCTAAGAGAGTTCCTATGTCCTAGAAGACTTTAATTTCTTTGGAAGTTGTATGCATGCATTTATCTCTTAAAAGTCAACTATTCCAATGTAATTTGATCTTGGAATATGGTAGAAGAATGTCTATAGCTAGAGGGATGCTCTATACTATAAATACTTCCTTTGTTTGCAACAAATTTGAAGTGCGTTTTTATATATTGAGTCTTTTGCTTGTTAAGAAGAAGAATTTCTTCTTGTTCTTCACTCTTATCCCTTAGGTGGACTCATTCAAGTGGGGAGTTTGATCCTTGAAGCTTCTATTATCCCATAGATGGACTCCTTTGGGTGGCGAGTTGATCTTTGAGTGTGTGTTCCTTTGTTACCTCCTAATTCTGCCCTATGTTTCCCGTGCGTGAAGAGAAAGTAGAGAGAGGAGAGTGAAAAATGCGAAGAAGAAAGCAAAAAAATTAATTTCAACATAACAAGTTAGGCAAGTTTATTTTTCTGATAAATTAAATTTTATAATTGAAGTTGTTGTAGCTATTAAACACAATATATAGAGCAGGTAAAAGTAATTATGGTGGATGTGAATAATCTAAGCATGTTCAAAAAATGCAAATATGGGACATTAGCACTCCGGTTTCTATGCATCTTTAGTAGGTATACCAAACACCATGACACGGTATTGTTAATTAAACAACAATTATGAGAATTTCATTATCAATTAATACGATCCGAGATAAGCAAGTTGCTATTTGTTAATTGAATCAAGTGCATGGAAACACAACACTGTTTGTGACCAAATCCTTAGCCAGTTTCATTGCATCTTTAGTAGGCACATTACCAGTTCACTGTATTTGTTAATTAATGGAAGTGATGTGAAAATCTCGACGAACAAAGTTGGGAACCAGCTGGGGAGAATGGATGAGAATAGATGAACAAAGTTCTGAAGGGAAATAATCTTCTATTCGAGTGTGTACCGGCCTACCGCCTATAAATAAGTCCCTTATGGTGATATTTTTTTCGTAGGTTTCAACCAATAGTAATGAGACACACCAAACAAAGTCGGTATTCTATGTATTGCAATCTTAGACCTAGTCTAAGTCGGTACATGAGAGATGTCCACCTACAAGCATTGTTGAGAACATCGAGGAAGATTGATTGGTCGGGAGTAGCATATTTGATCCAAAGATTAAGCCCCTGTTTGATAACCATTATCCAAAAACTCTTTTTTTTTGCATACTTATTTTCAACCACACAATCACACAATAAAATATTCTACACATGAACCAAAAACTTTTCCTTAATTTTTAACTATACATTTTCTAAAAAATCACTATTCAAAATTATGTTTTTGCCAAATAATGAGCATCAAACACGGCCTTGGAGACTCAAAGAAAATGCGTGGGTGCAATTGAATTTACTCCTTTGATTAATCGCAAAATGCTCAACGAATAAAATCTGGACTCGTGTTTTTTGATTTATAATCTGAAAACAATTTTTTATAACCAATATTTTACTGCAATTGATTTTTCTGTATCAGCGATGTATATGCTTTTGGAACCAACATACTGAGCATCCTAGTAATTATGTCCGACACCTGATGAAATTAATAAATTACCGTCATGTCAAAGAAGCCTTGATGAGTAACACATCAAAGATGATATAAGATGGATAGTTACCATAACAAAAATGATACAATTTCCATGACATTTAATCCACAATATAGGATAACAAACTTTTATTAGGTTTTGTGACAAAAATTTTATGGGATATGTGATTTAGAAGTTTGTTGTATGAATGAAACTTGTTTAATCCTTGTTTAGAAGTCTTGGTTGATTGGATTCCACGAGATTTTGGATTTGGTCGATTGGAGGTACTTGGATTTGTATAGTCCTAAGTTGTGGAGATTAAATTTCAATAATAATTAGGAGTTTGATTTGAAAAATGACTGTTGGATGGCAAAAAAATATGTTTTGAAATGTTAACTCCAGACGTAACGCCTAGGCGCTACCGCCGCGGTGCCTAGGCGCCAAGAATTGAAGCAACAAGAAAAATGAGGCAAGGACCTGGCACTTGGGCGCCTACACAAAAGCGCCGCAACATTAATTGATCACGATTTTTCCGTTTTATTCGGATTTTGGGATTTCTTTTCCATCTTGAACTCTACCTCATCCACAACTTTGAGATTTGGCTTCTACAAATACTCGACAAGGTCTATGCACTTCAAAAAAAGGTAAAAAGGAAAGACGCAAGAGAGATTATAACAATTGGATCATTGTTGTATACATTAGAAACAAAAGAGAATTGTTTAGATTATATTGGGAGGGTCAAATCTTGTAAGAAAGTTGTTTGTTTCTTGGTATAGTAAATTCTCCTCTTCCACAATTTTCTTGATTGTCGTGTGATTCATTAAATTTCATATTGTCCATACTTTTTGTCTTTAATTATTTGGCCAGTTTCTCAACAGTGATATCAAAACGTTCTTGATATCGGGTTGATTCAAAACAAGTTTTACTATGAGTGTTTATTTCATAAAAAAAAGCGTAAGAAGCTCTCATTATTTCCAGTGATAAATAAATCCACTGTATGGATCCACAACAAAGAAGTAGCTGATGCTGATTGCAGTCAAAATACTACAATGAAACACTTCAAAAGTACATGTCCAACTTTATTTTTGACATCCAAATGTGTTGATAAGGAACAACAACAACGGAATCTCAATAAAATACTTAAAATAACACAGCAACTTAGTCTTCTTTTCCCCTTTGTCAGCTAGAAACCTTAGTATCCTTGTCTTTCAGCACAACCTATTAGTGAAACTCCAACCAATTGACAGTATTAGCATAAAAATGACGTGTAATTAATGTCAAGCAAATGTATGGCTAATTGGAATCATAATATTCAACCTCACTCTCAACCCAAAATATATTATACCACAAATTTCAAGAACTTGTAATTTCAAGATTATCTTTATACTCTTCCAATTTTGACTGGCAACTCTAAATTTTAATAAGAAAATTATACACGTGGAAAATGCAGTTCAATAAAAATTGCTATTTCAGATATTTTAATTTTCTCTTAAATGATTTTGCCAACTTCATATTTAGAAAACTCAACTATGAATATAGATAGGGAAAGTGGAGGAGCCTCTGCAAGGATGCTGCAATACTATATGAAGTAGATTTCAAGTGATGCTATTATACTACGCATAATTACGACATTGAAGAGAATATTTAAAGGCTTAGACTCAGAAGGAAGAGAAGAACCTGAATTCCATTGTTTCCTATGTCCTGTGCAGAAGTCACAACAGACGTGCTACATTCACACAACTCAATTTTTTGAAGAGTTGGAATTTTCCCAATTCCAGAAGGGACCTCCTCCAGATTGTAGCAGTACTCAAGACTAAGGCGTTCAAGGCTTGGAAAGTGAGTTTCATCAACTTTCCAGTGCTCCAGATCAGTCATGTGTATGAGCAGCAATTTTAATCGACGAAATTCCCAATCGTTGGTTTCCCAAACAGGGCCTTCGAAGGCATGGTATTTGAGTTTCAGCACTTCAAGATAGGATAAGGAACCAACAATAGTCATATTTTTCCAAGATATTCTGCAGCCACTCAAAGTTAACCTTTTGAGTTTTGGTGGGAAAGCAAAGTTCACAGGTAGAGGATCCTGATATTTTATATAAGACTTAGCAAAAAAGAAGCACTTTAAAACTTCAAGTTGAAGAAGATGAACAAAATTGTCAAAGCGATAGGATGACCATTCAGTTCGCCCATCATGCTCGTACGAAATTACCAATTTCTTTAGGTTCGGCATCATTTCAATGACCTCCTTTGTCCATCTGAAGTTCATAACATTGGTAAGCGTTTGTAGGTTTTCCAAGGGCAAAAATGTTCCCCCATTTATTGCATCAGTAGGATAAGGCAAGAAACATCTCACGAACAAGAGATGCCTCAATCGTGACATCTTCCAGATATCCGGTGGTAGGAATGATGTATTAAAGATCGATCTGAGTTTCCCATGATTAATAATTAACGTCTCAAGATTGCAAAGTTTGGATATTGACGAAGGAATCCTATGCTTTGCCCAGTAGGTCAAAGAAATAAACCTCAAAGTCTCCAGTTTTACTATTTCAACAGGAAACTCGTCAAACCATATTGTGAGTGCATCCAATACTCTCAGCAGCTGAAAACTCTCGACAAAATGTATACCGTGCTGGCTATTGCCAAAAAAGTATGTAACAGAGCGGATACGCAAATCAAGATTGTATGCAAGATCAAATTTGGGTATTTGACTCTTCAATTCTGTGAGAATACTAACGTGACGAAGATTGTAATGGACTTCTAGAAGATTCTCAACGTCCGAATTGAACTTTTCCATAGTTTTCACCCGGCCGAAGTTGTCATGGACAACATCCGGGTTGAACTCTTCCTTAGTTTTCATCTGGCAGAAGTCCCTCAAGACATCATGGATGCAGCAGGTTTTGATTTCACCACTATAGGTCCACTCACGAACCTTAATCAGATTTCTATCAATAAGATCTTTTAGATACTCCTCTGCCACCTCTTCCAAGCTTTTCGATCTATCTGGCTTTATAAATCTATTGGCAATCCATAATTTTATGAGTTTGGATCTACAGATCTCATAATCTTCAGGTAGAACACCCATATAAAGAAAACATGCTCTCAAATGATGTGGCAATTGGTTGTAACTGAAAGATACAAAATTCAGTAGTCGGAGGTCATGCCTCATATATTGCGTAGCAATCTCCCTACCTAATTTCTCCAATTCATTCTCAACATACATCCAGTAATCACGTGTCCTCTCGGCTTTGTACAGGACACCACCGATCAAGATAAGTGCAAGTGGAAGTCCTCTGCAGATCCGTGCAATCTCCCTACCAAATATCTCCAATTCAGGAGGACACATTTCTTTATCAAACACCAAATAGTGCAGCAGATTCCAGCCTTCTTGATCAGTTTGCAATCTCATACGATGAATGTGGAAAATAGGATCAGCATACAGAGCCACATCATGAGATCGAGTTGTCAACAAAATCCGGCTTCCATTACTGTCATGTAGAAGCAAACTTTTGACTTTTAACACGATATCTCCATCCCACACATCGTCAAGGACAATGAGGCACCTCTTCCCCTTCAAACTTTTACATAGTTTCTCAGCTAATTTTTCTACACTTTCTTGGCTTGATTCATGAATGGGGACTCTTATGGAACTCAGAAGGCGACTGAGTACTTCTTGTTCATAATATATACGTGATACTGTTACCCATGCAAGAATGTCGAAGTGAGAGGCAATATCCGTGTCATGATAAATTTGTCTTGCTAGTGTAGTCTTGCCAAGGCCTCCCATCCCAACAACTGGGATGATATTGAGTCCTGAGGACAAACCAGTCAGCCGATCCTTAATTCTCCAAATATCTTCTTCAATTCCCACAGTAGCAATCTTGTTAGTCGAACGAGCAGAAGGAAAAGTGTTCCTTGGTTTCACGATTTCTATGTCGTTCCTTTCCTTCATCTTCACCAAATCTTCCGAAATGGAAGCAAGTTCTTCTATTACCTTCTGCAAACCAACGTATTTCTGCTCCCACTCTGAGACAATCTTCTTCGGCATAATGGATTCAATCCTATCTTCCGCTTCATACGCTGCATCTCTGATTCTTCCTTCCAAATCACTAATATTTTCACTACTTTTTGGTGAAATAACATCCAGAAAATCCACCAAGAAGTTAACCTTTTCATAGAGAGATCTCATGATCTGTTGCTCTGTATGATGAAGAATTAGAGATTGTTCATGAGGATGCAGGATCTGCTCTAGTGTTTGAGCAAGTGAAAGTAGAGATGCATAACCCATCTCAATTGAAAGATGAGTTTAGGCGATGTCTCAAAAAGGATTCAAGGCAACTTTGAGATCTCAATGGAAACAGAAGTTTAGGCAACTTTGAGAGAAAAGGGATTTTAGGCAATAAAACAAGCTAGATTGTAATGAAGAGTTAGCTAGAAAAGGGACTTTAGAGGCAACATTACAATATTGCATTTTTACGTTCTTCTTAACTTCGATTATTTTAAGACGTTAGTTGAATGGAACCTTTCTTGAATCTTTTAAACATGAAATTTGTTTGCCATCTTAGTGTCAGGTTGTGTATGTTGCTACTGCAATAATTTTGCAGTAAACTTCATTATAATTCTAATTTCATGACCAACAGAATTGATTCTTGTGTTATTAGGTAAAATTATGTGTGATGACGCATGTCATAAAATTTGTAATTTTAGTCCTTTATCTTCTAATATTTACAATTAAGTCCTCATCAATTCAAAATTATTAATAATTAACCAGATGCCGGTTTTGAAAGTTTTCAATTAGTCCCCAAACTTTTAAAATGTCGAATTTAACTCACGAAAATCAGTTAGTTATATTAAGTCCTTTGTGCCCATTTGTTTTGTGTCACGAAGCTTCATGGTCTCATTGCCACCCACTATAAATATGATCAAAATTCACAGCACCATTACATAAAGAATCCTACGATCAATTTAATCAGTAAAAAAAAGGGAAAAATGTCTTTGATTCCTCAAATTCTGAGCGAAGTTTTCCCACAATTTCAATCAACCAACGAAATTTCCGCCACCGCCAACGCGCGGATAGATTGGAAGGAGACGCCGGAGGCCCATATTTTCAAAGCCGATCTTCTGGGACTGAATAGTAGTGAATGAATTTAGATTGACATATTTTTAATATTTGTTTATTTCAACCCAATAGAAATTGAACCTTTTTTGTTCTTAATTAGTCATTCAACTTTCAGTTTTGTTTTACCCAATCTACCTCTCTCTTTCAAAAGTAATGAAAGGACACTACATGAAACCATTGTTTTTTCAGCCAGATTTTCACTACCAACCAAAATACTATAAAAAATACTTAGCCGGCTATGTCTTTACTGGCCACATTTGTCACTACACAATAGAAATTGTCAATGAAAATCGTTTTTACCCTCCATTTTTTCGATGCACCAAAAATTAGTCACTAAAAATAATATTTACTAACAAAAATAATTATTAGTCGACTTAACGAACCATATTTGCCGATTAGATGAAATGGATTGGTGAATATCTTATTTTTTTAACAATTTTTTTAATATACGAGGATGGGGCATTGTGGTTAAAAACGAAAAAAAGAAAAAGTCAGCTAATATATTGATTTTGTCATACAAATTGACAAAAATGTTAATTCTTCTAAAATAATGCTTTTTAAAGGAAATGATTTTGTGGAAGAATAAGAGCTTTTTCCAGTGTGGATGACAAAAAATGGGGAGAGATCTAAAAGATCTTTTTTCTAAAATTTCCTTTTTGTTCACTTATTATCATACCTTTCCTAAATGGCCTAAATGTCTTGACTCCTCTAAACGCAATCAAATCCTCTTTTTTGATAATTAAATATATTTCTATAGTCCCATATCAAGTAATATATGCCCGAACTCTTTCTTCTATATCAAGGATCATGATCAAAATAAGAAGAATCATGCTACATGTACAATATTGGTTGACAATATTGATTTCAAGTCCTTATTTTTGTTGATTGAATGTCAATGGAGTGACATGCAAGATTGCAATATTATTGTCAAGTTGTTTATAACTTCGATAATTTTCAATGTTAGTTATAAATGAATTCTTTCTTTGACCTTCTAAGCACGAAATTTGTTTGCCATGTTTAGTGTCAGGTTGTATGTAGTTGGCGCGATTACGAATATGCCCAAAATTTCATTATTATTCAATTTTATTTTATGACCAACGGTATCGATATTTCTTGTGTTATTGGGTAAAAGTACGTGGGACGACAATTTTTTTTTTTTTTTTGTCGATTTTTGTTCCTTTCTTTCAAAATCATTTCCAATCACCGAGTTTTACCTAACAAACAGTATATATAAGAGATTAAACTATAATTCATTAAGAGTACTCTCAAATATCCATATTTAACGATCTAGATAATTGCATAAAATACACTTATCAATAAATAGTCATGTTAGCTGTAAGCAGGGGCGGACCCACACAGGGGCCTACAGGGGCACGTGCCCCTGTAGATTTTTTGGTTTTTTTTAATTAAATATAAAAAGAAAAAAAAAACATATCTACCCTTTCATTCTCTCCACTCTCTCCAGCAGACCCAGCCCCGTCGCCCCGTCGCCCCCAATCCCCGATAATCGCCTCTCTCCAGCTGCCAGCCTCGATTCCTCTTCTCCGTCCGGCCGTCCCCAAAAAATCTGAAATTAAATCCCTTTTTCCTTAGTTTTGCCAACGACCAACGTGGTAGACACAAGTTACGGCTTCCAACAGGTAGTTCCCATTTCGCATTTCATCATTCCTTTTATTCAATATCTTTAAGAAGAAATTAAAGAGTTCACACGGCTGTGTGCAGGTTTATAGAGTGCAGAATACCTACATGTAAGGCTGTAACCTGTCTGCTGCCACCCATTCGAAGCTCCAAACCTCCAACTCTCGTCGCCTGTGCTGGCTGCACACTGAGGCTGAGCCTTTCAGCCTGTGACGAGATCAGTTTTCGTTTTCCTCTCAATATGAAAGTGTGATACTGATTTCTAATTAGGGCTGTTCTGTGTGTGACTGAATCTGTGATTTAGGGATTTTGGAAATTGATAGTGATTTCTAATTAGGGATTTAGGGATTTTGATGAAATTGAGTAGGCAATTGTGATTGCGAAACTGTTGATAGGGATTTTTGTAACTGTGAAGATGTTCTCAGTTGATAGGCAATTGTGATTGATTTCTTATCTAACATGATTGATTTCTTTATTTGTATCAGTTATGGACAAATACTTTAAACGGAAATCTATGAATGTTGATGTTGAAAGGAATACTCGAGATAAAAGTAATGAAAATAATGTTGATGATGGAGAAGTTGGGAATGTTGGGGGAGTTGGGGATATTGATGTTGCTAATCTTATCGTTGATCCTGGATTGAGAGTTCCAATTCAAAATTATGAGGTTAATGTTGGAGACGTGATTCGAAGAGCCTATATACAAAGGGGTCATTGTCAGCCTCATGCATTTCCATCTACAAAAATGGGTAATAAAGAGAGGGGATTTTGTATTTCATGGTATGATGAGTATCCTACATGGTTGGGATATAGTGTAGCGAAAGATACAGTTTTTTGTTTTTACTGCTATCTTTTCAGTTTGAGTGGTGGTTCCTTTCTTAACAATGGATTCTCAAATTGGAAAAAGAAAGAATACCTTAGAGTACATGTTGGGGCTTCAGGTAGTGCACACAATCAAGTTCGAGTCAAATATGAATCGTTCAAGAATCAAGAGCAAAGTATTCGATCATGTCTCGTTAAGCAATCGCATCAAGCTCGAACGGATTATAGAATTCAATTGAGTGCGTCAATTAATTGTGTTCAATTTCTCCTACGATAAGGTATGGCTTTTTGTGGACATGATGAATCTGAACATTCAAAAAACCAAGGAAACTTTCTTGAACTATTGCATTGGTTGTGTGATCATAATGCTGAGATTAAGGCTGTTACTTTGACGAATGCACCTGAAAATCTCAAATTAACATCACCACGGGTGCAAAAAGATATTGTGAGTGCTATTGCTTCTGAATGTCTAGATGTGATTATGAAAGATGCTCGTAAGAGTTTCTTTTCAATCTTAGTTGATGAATGTAGAGACATTTCAGTTAAGGAGCAAATGTCGGTTGTCATTCGTTATGTGAAGAATGGTCATGTGTTGGAACATTTTGTTGGTGTCCATCATGTTTCTAGTACCACGGCTATCTCACTTAAGGCTACAATTGATCAATTATTCTCAACGCATAGCTTAAGTATATCTAATTTGAGAGGTCAATGATATGATGGAGCTAGTAACATGCAAGGTGAGTATAATGGGCTCAAAGTACTTATTTTGAAAGAAAACCCGAGTGCATATTATATTCATTGCTTTGCTCATCAACTGCAATTAGCTCTTGTAGTTGTGGCACGAAAACATCCGAAAATTGAAACTTTCTTCACTAGTACACAAATTGGTGAATTGTGTTGGTGGATCGGCTAAGCGGAGTGATCTTATTCGAGAGAACCGAAGGTTGAAAGTTCTTGGATCACTCGGTGTCAGTAAATTATCAAGTGGACAAAGTCTCAATGAAAAAACTACTCTTCAACGTCCTGGTGATACACGTTGGGGCTCTCACTACAGTTGTTTAATTAACTTGATTGTCATGTTTTCAACCATAGTCAATGTTGTTGAGATGATTGCTACGGACACTACAAGTACCGGAACAAGAGGTGACGCTTGTATTTTATTTGAGTTGATGTTAAAATTTAAATTTGCATTTCATCTACATTTCATG